AAATGCAAACCGGTTATCAACTTAAAATGCAAAAAAAAAAAAAAAGTATTAGAATATCTGACAAAAAATAGTTAAGTTGGGTTTTAAAATTTTTAGATTTGCTTTGAGATAGTGCTAATATATCACCAAAAATTTATCTTGATCAGGCACGAAACTCAAGGAAAAATTTAGTTGATAGCTTTTGAAATTAAATATGGGACCATCGAACTCTGATTTCAGTAAACTTACACGTGAACAGAACGTCTCAAAAATACAACCCAAACAACACCAAATTAACCTAAATCTGAGCCCAAATGGGTCCAAATTGAAGACCTGAAGCGCATTTAGATAGTTCAAACCATAATTGGATGACCAAACGATTTTCAAACATGACATGCTTATTGTCAAATAAAGCAGCTTGACGAAAATTATCTAATGAGTCCAAGATCATTAAATTCTGATATCATTAAGACATTCAAATATCTAATAAATTGTCCACGATCAAGGGGATCACAATCGATTATTCATTCAAATCACTCCCAACTTATCCATGATCTCCGTCATATTTACTGGCCATGCCACTCTTTGAAAGCTATAAATAGATATCTTATTTCTCATGGAAGGGGACCCAAACAACCCCGTCAGCTCATGGCAAATCCCACCCCTGCCCGGCTGCCCCACTCGCACGCGTGTCTGCAATGCATCATGCCCATCACGTGAAAATAGGTAAGATGCATGTTTCGAGGAGGTGAGTCGCGTACTCACGTGACCATGTCCAGGCCCGCTTGAGGGCTAGCCAAGCTGGCCGGCTGCCGCGTCCAGGCCAGCGCCTGCGTCCAGGACCTCCAGGTCTAGTTGTCCGACCGCCTATGTTAGGCTCCGGCGTTCCGCCGCGCATGTTGGCACCCGCTTTCGCGTCGTCTCGGGTTGACCTGAACCCGAAGCGGGTCGGGTTCGGGTCCGGAAAACCGACCCGTTTGTAAAAAGGGGTCGGGTTCGGGTTGACCCGAACAGTATCGGGTCAGTTCCGGGTTCGACTTGAACCCGACCCGTGACCCGAAATTGACACCCTTACTATCTAATCTTATCTTCTACTGGAGCTACTCCAACCTTTTCATATATATGCTCATTTCGTAAAGTCACTCATCCACCTGAGCATCCTCATCTATGCCACACTTAACTTAGTATTGTGCTTCTCTTTTAATGGCCAACATTCGGCACCATAAAACATTGCAGGCCTCACCACCATCTTATAGAATTTTACCTTAAGTTTGAGGGGTACTTTTCTATCACACAACAAGTCCGATGCATCCTCCACCTCAACCATCTAACTTGAATTCTACTAACAACATCCCCATCTATTTCACCATCACTCTGAACAATAGATCCAATATATCTAAATAAATGTGTTTAATATGGAGTTACCTTTCTAATATGTTAAGTTGGATCATAATGGTCATTTAATTCATATTATATTTTTTAGGAGGCTTTGTAGATGTTCCATTAGTATGTTTTCAGTCTGTTTGTGAGGTTTTGATTCATATGATTAATGGATGTTATATTTATGTCTTTTATTCTGTTTGATGGATAAATTGCATGTATGATGTTTTAATTTTGCAACTCTAATGTTTTGATGTTGATGGATACATTGTATAATTGTGCAGGTGATATTTTGATGTATGAAAATTTGTAAATGTTATACCTTCTACTCATTGTGTTGCTGCCACATTCAGGAGGGTTAGACAGGACGTGATAGGGAAAGAGTGAAATGGATGTTGCTGGGGTCAGGGAGGAAGGATCGGAAACTATCTTTGAGAGGACCTCGTGTTTCCAAATCACAGATGGTGTACCACTCTTAACTTTTGATCCCTCTGTGGAGAATTTCCTCTCTATCATGGAAGCCATCTCAAAGCTTTGCGGTGATGCTAAAGAGGAGAGTTTTGAGGCAAGCGAGATTGAACAGTTCAAGTCCATGATTAGTTTCATTAGGTAAAAAATATCTCTGCTGACAAAATTAGATGATTAATGAAGCTTTCTTTTGCATATCCCTAGTGTTTCTTTAAAAAAAATTATCTTAGTAAGAAGTAGAGCTCAAAATTGCAGGCCATTTTCTCTTGAATCCTTACACAATGCAACCAGTCTTGTTTTCCTAATTAGTTTCTTGTGGCAATAAGAAAAATCTATACTGCTGTCATACTGATAGTTTTAAATGCAACGGTACTTTACTATGTTCGTTGCAGGGGTTGCCACTCTTAAATTATTATTATTTAGTACATTGAATGACAGCTTCCTTAACCAATTTCACACTTTTATTAATTTAATTCTTAGTATTTTAATGTGCAGATAGCCAGTACGGTTTATTTTCTTTCTTTTCTAAATTGCACATTTATTATATTTTTTGAATAAAAAATGCGTGCCTATGAGCATAGTTTCAAGTTTACAGTAATCTTATGGCGGTTCTAATTATGGGTTTTGGCATATAGATGTCTCCACATGGAAATAAGTGCTTGGTTGGACTTGAGTGAATGCTCATCAGGATCCAATTTGTGAATGTTTATTGGTTTTGGGGTTTAGCAATAACATGATGGGTATGTGCAGGTACTTGGAGGTGTATGCTCATTGTTCAGATGCATTTATTCTTTTTATTCAAAAAAAAAAAAAGAATAATGACATGAATCCTTTAAGACCCCACGTAGTGGGATAAAGGCTTGATGTTGTTGTTGTTGTTGTTGTTGCAAAAAAAAAAAAAAAAAAACCAAACATTCTTTTGATGGATGCAATTCATTAGATAAGTCTTCAATGTGATTTGCTAGCATCTACTTTTTCACCTCCATATCTTATGACTCATGTACTTCTACCATAATGTAAAGTAAATAAATTATAAATCAAAATAAAAACAAATTATCAAAATTGAATTACCCATATGTACCTCTACCACGCACATTACTTCGAAATTTGAGATGAGAATGAAATGCGGACTAAATAAAAATGAACATAATTTTAGCTTTGCATTGTGAAACATGCAATTATTTTAAAATGGCTGCAACCTCTCTAAATTTTATTTACATTTTTTTGAAAACAAGCTCATTTGCATGTGCTGTAACGAATGTGCTAATTGCTTGAATTTAATGTCTAAAGATGTTGTGCGAACTGAGCATAAGATGAATGCAAGTTCTCAACCCTACACCAATTTTTTTGCAACTATATACAATGCATTTAACTTCTAATGATTATTTTTGATCGAAAGTTTTCTCTTTTTATTGGTAGGGGTAATTAATCATAAACGCTTGCAACTATGAAAAATCTGAATTCAGATTTCTATGTTCTCAAAAAATGAGGTAAAGTCCTTGCGTAGTGCCCTATCTACAACACAATCTTCCTTTTAAAAATTTAATCCAACACACTCAAACTCTCTCAATAGAGTTGGGACATTAATTTTTGGATCCCACGCTACTAAGTGTTTAAGTTGGGGTGTGTGTGTGGTAGGGTCTTTTGTCTTGGCATATTGCATTTCATGGGTGCACATTTGGGGTGGAAAGGGAGATGCATGTTAATTCAAAAGTACTATGCATAGGTGATTGTGTTACCAACTGAGAGTACTTAGTTTTCCATCTTCTCTTACCACCTGCCACATGCTTATGCCATGCATGGTGTAAACCCAAAAATAAAATTATTGAATGATTGAAAGATTAATATCTAGCCAACAAGAAGAATAACTAGAATATAAGTCAACTACTACTATATCTATTAAGTTCTATCTTTAGAGTTCTTTAAATAAAAGCTCTATTCTAATCCGTTCTTACTAATATTTGCTCTTTGATGTGCAGTGAATGGAAACAATTCTATTTTTGTGAATGGATGCCATTTTGTTATAAGCCAAAAACAGTCAATTTTACTTATCAAACTGAATCTGCTGAAGCAAAAAATGCTATTAAGGGGATAAAGTTACCTCACTTTTCATCAGCTGCCATTCCAAAAGTATGATACAATTTCAATCTGATAATTAGGTCATATCATTGTTTATTGTTATCCCAAAACACGTTCAAATTTTCATTGATGATTGTGCATTCTGTTCTATTTTTATAAATAATTTTAATTGACAAAGCAGGTGGAGAAATTACCTCACACAACATCAGCATTGGACAAGTATGTGTTCTAGACTTAACTAATCTATTTACTATTGTTTTTTTAGGAACTTTTATTAGTTAGCCTTATAGGAACGTCAAAATCTAACAAACTTATCATTCCTGTCTTTTTAGATATTTGAAAATTGCACATTGATGTATTATTGCAGTGATGATTTTGTTTTTCATGTTGGAGGATCTGTTTGGTCCTTGGATTGGTGCCCCAGGCTTTATGAAAACATTGACTGTGATGTTAAGTGTGAGGTAATCCCAATTCTCAATTGTCCCGTGCTCACTTTTCATAAGCTTAGCATGTTTTAAATTGCTCAAATGTCCAGTAACTTCTCTCTTTTTCATAAGCATTGCAAGTTTTTTATTTCGTTAATATTGCAATGTAAGATTGTACAATGCCAAGATTTTGTCTGACGTGGTCAAAATATGTAATCGTATATCACCATTAATTTTTATCCTTCTTGATGTTTAGTATCTTGCAGTTGCTGCGCACCCTGTTGGTTCCGAGTATCACAAGATTGGTGAACAATTGAGTGGAAGAGGTTTCATTCAAATATGGTGCTTCCTGCATTTGGTTGGTAAGGAGGAGTTACTTAATCCTAGAGGCATCGCTCTACCTAGGTTAGTGTCTGCTCTTGCTCACAATGGAAAAGTTGCTTGGGATATGAAATGGAGACCTTCCGATGCAGTTGATTCAAAAGGGAAACACCATCTGGGCTATCTTGCTGTTTTGTTGGGCAATGGTTCCTTGGAAGTGTATGTTTCCATCCACTGGTTCAATTACTTTTATATGTTTTAAATATGTGTACTATTACATGCTAGTTTTTTCTTTTTTTATTTTTTTATTTTTTACTATTACTTGCTAGTTTTTTTTTGGGATGTGCAAAAAATAGGGTATAACTTTTAGGAGAATTTTAATATGAATGAAATTTTTTGGTGTTACAAATCAATTCCTTCATTTTCATCCACAGGTGGAAAGTTCCAGTGCATACCTTGGTCAATTTCGTATATGCTGGTTGTCACACTGAGGGTACTGATCCTCGTTTTTTGAAACTGCAGCCTGTATTTAGATGCTCAAGGCTGAAGTTTGGAGAAAGGCAAAGGTGATCTTATTGGATTGAGCACTCAACTTTTATTGATTTCTCACCTCAGTGTTGCCTGTATAGTTTTTTAATTTTAATCAGTTATGCATTGCACGGTGGTGACTCTTAAACTTTAATTATACAAACAGAAGCATTTTTCACTTATTCAAAGTGGTTGTCTTCTTTAATAACTTATGATGTACAATCTGATATCGTGTGAAACTTGATAAGATATACAAGCTGAATGCTTGGACAGAGAGCAATGTATATGTCAATATATGGCATTGCTTTTGTCCTCTATTTAAGCTTTTATCATTTTTCGGTTTAACAATATTTTTTAGATAATAATTAGGCTTGTCAACCAATTCTTTCCTTGCGATTACATGATTTTGTTGTCATTACTAAAAAAAAAGAATTATTTATATAATGAATTAGGACATTAAGCCTAAACTCAAACAACATGATGTGAAACCACATGCATGCAAAAGGAGCTTGATAAGAAATTTAAGAACAATTGACAATGTAATCTCAATTAATAGCTTATTGTGATAACAAGGCAATTCAATAAAGATTCTTGGTTTTCAACTTGCTTAGGCGAAGGAGTACATGTACATTAACTAATCCTTGTAGATAAACAAAAATAGTAGCAAAGCTAAGAGCTATTAAATAACAATCCACAACTTAATAATGAGAGTTTTCACCTCGGGGATTATTCACTCGACTATACTCGGCTTGGCGAGAGAAGATCTTGCACACTAGAATTGAGATCACCACTAGGAAGAAGATGCTGCAAGCCTTTGTCCACGAGAAAGTAGTCGGAGTTAGTGAGGGTGGCGGATGTCCGATGATAATCCAACGGCTTGGTGTTGATATCGAATGCGGTCGATATAGCCTTCCACGGTCTCGTCGTGTCCAAGTTGCACGTCAAAGAACGAGGATGCGAGGATGTTCGTCCGTCCTTGTTCGTCGAAGAGGAAGCCGTGGTCGATCTCAGGATCGGCCATGCATAGTTGAAGAGAAAGGGGGCAAACGTTGTCTTCTCTTCTCTCAGCCCCAAGTGTTATGAGCATCCGAACTTCACCCCGAGAGGAAAAGGGGAGGGTCGGCCAAGGTTGGGAGAGAGGGGGCGGGTGGATTGGGAGAGGGATGTTAGGCTAGATGAGGGAAAGAAGGGATTTACTTAAATCTTAAATTAGTTTCAAATTTTAAGTAAATTTGGAGGGAAGTTAATTAGAATTTGAATTTCAAACCTCATGTGATCAATGCCATAAAGTGGCATTTAATGGGAATTGATCCCAAGCAAGGCCGGCGGCCAAGAGAGAGGAGAGGAGGGGGTTAATTCACAAATCTGAAATTAATTTCAGAATTAAGTAAATTAGAGGGAGGGGAATTTGAATTTGAAAATTTTGAATCAAGAGCCTTGAATGCATTAATGGAGCATTAAAGGGAATTTCACCCTCATAGGGCCGGCGGCATTGTGAGAGGGAGATTAGGGAGAGGAATTTCTTTCCAAATGAGTTTGAAACTTATGGGGGGAAAATAATGAGTCATCCAATTAGATTTCGTTTGAACTTTGAATTCGAGAAAAACTTCCTTATTTGGAAGTTTGCAAATAAAGAAAGTTTTTGAAATTGAACTTTGAATTTCAAAATTCAATAACTCATGCTTTTAATGCGGGACCTCAATCAAGGAGCCATTATGATGATTGACATCTTCATCATGGCTTGGGGCTAGGTGGTGGCCGGCGGTTGGGTGGTGAAAGAGGTGTGGCCGACGGCTAAGGGAGAGGCCGGCGGTTGATTCCCTTAGGTTGTCGGCGGGATGAAATTGGGATTCGAATTGGGAATAGACGGGAGGGAAATTTGGTGTTGGATGAGGATGAAAGAAGCACCGATAGAATGAAAACGAACTTAACCACGAGCCGCGGACTATTCCAACGATTGGTGGGCCTTGCGATTTGCTCCCCTTGAGCTCTCTTTCCTCTTAAGCACTCATGCTAGAAAAGTAGAAACAAAACATAATCTTCTTTCAAATATTCATTAACCCATTACATAAGAAATGACCATATATATAGGCTTCAAAATGACAAAGGAAACAAAAGACTAAAATGCCTTTTGGGCTACAATAGCGACCAAATACCCATAAGGGTAAAAACGGAAAAACTGAAAAATAAAATAAAATACTACATAACATGATAGAAAAATAAAAAATAAAATAAAACTCCTGATCGTGGCTGTCGATATCCGGTGTCTCCGATGGCACACGTGTCGAAATCGCTGACGATGTCCTCATCATTCTCCCCAGGTGGGAGAAAACTCGACCCCGTCGAGTAATCATCTGTAGAACTCTTGTACCACTCTAGTGAACCAGGGTCCACTCACTGCAGCTCCTCCTGATCAATCCACATGTCATTCGTCTCCGATTTCCCTTTCCAATGAACTATGTACCTGCGGTGACCTTCTTCCTTTGTGGAAATTTTCTCATCATCTATTAATGCTTCAATCTTCTCCGCTATGGGTAAGTGGGGTAATTTGGGGAGTGGAGGTAGGTTGGGGGATCTCGCTAGGTGGGTTCTCTCAAGGCTTATTTTGAATTGGATTATTAGGGTTCACTCGGGTCTCTCAAAGGTGACTAGATCTTCTATATTAAATGTAGGATTGAAGTTAAAACCCTTGGGGGTCCAGCATATAAGCATTACTATTTATTTTTGACATTATCTTCAAGGTCTGGTGCTTCTAGCATGCGACTTCTTTACGGAGGGATCCGTACCATCACAAGGTTTCCAACCTTGAATTCTTTAAATCTTTTCTTGTGATCCGAAATAAGCTTATAATTGGAATTACTCTATTCAATTATTCTTTTAATTTCTTTATGAAGCTCCTGGAGATAAGATGCAAATGCATATGCAAAAGAACTGGTATGCATGACGAATGACCAGAATCAAGGCTCACTCAAAAGTTTTAAGCAGAAATAACTTTGGAGGACAACATACTACAAAACACACACACAACATACTAACTCACACGAACACATAGCTAGAAAAGGTGGACGAGTCACGAGAAGAGGGGCCTAAAGTGTTTGGTCTAAGGGAACTGGTGTAGGGGGAGGAATGAAGACACTCTTAGCTACCAGGGCACTTCTATAGTTGGTTTCAGTTAGGGCCGACGGTAGTCTCCTAGTTGGGGTAGTGTCATCTAATAAATTCATCCAACTAGGATAGAAGTGGTCCTTATCCTGGTAGGACGAGGCTATAACGTGCAAAATGTATGAATCAGGAATGACACACTCGGCCAAATATAAATCCAATTGAGCAGCTCTAAAGTTAGACTCTAATGAAACAAGAGGGGGCTCATTGCTCAAATCAGGCTCAAAAACTTTCAGACTCAAAGTACTGTCTTCCGAAAGAGACTCAAGTTTGGTTGCAACCCTAAGATCCATGGGTTCCGTTTCATTTAAATCAGGTGATAAATTTGATTGACTTACTTCCAACTCGAGATTATCTAAGTCGCCATCAAAATTATCCAGAATTAAATCAGAATTATCCAAAACTAAATCAGAACTACCCAAAATTAAATCAGAATTATCCGGAGTCATCTCAGTAGGTGTTACAACTAAATCAGGATCTTCCAAATTGAAATTCAAAGTGTTCGAAGTCCGATTGGCTCCTTTCGAGATCACATTACTATCATCCAGGCATACTTTGTCCAAAGGCTTATCCTCGAGGAGACTAGGATCGGGGTGGGTTAAGGTGTCGATATTTAAAGGTTCTTGCTTTCCTAGCTCAGGGTTTAAGTCATTCAGGAAGTCTGATTCAATCTCTTTAGTTTCATCCTCAAAAAATTCTTCGTTATCGATAGTATCCACGAAATGGGTGTATTCAGTCTCGGGTTCAGTAGATTTCTTCTTTTTACTGCAATTCTTTACTAAGATGACACGTGTAGGGTCAAAGGCTGGGGAGGCTAAAGGTCGACTGAACTGACCAGAAGTTAGTCCACGTGGGGAGTCATAAAAGATTTGTCCAACAGAAGACCCAGTAGAGGGTCGACCATCTAGGTTACGTGAGGACCTAAAGGGTTGGGAAGCAACCCGGATGTTACTAATGGGTGGGTGGTCTCGACCACAGTAAGGTCCACGGGTCGTCCCAACAAACGAGGTATGGTGATGCTCTAGATGACCGTCACTAGTAGAGGGTCGGTATTTCAACTTAAGTTCTCGTCTCATGTCTCTCCAAGTAAGGTACTCACCGTGAGACTCTCTATGATCTTCCAATTTTATCCAAAATTGAAGAGCTCGACCTTTAAGGTGAGACTTAGCGATGCTAATATGGTGGGACTCAGGGACATGACATGATTCAAAATATTCCTCTAGTTGTCTAACCCATTCTCTAAGGTAGTGAGGGTCCGAAGAACCATCAAAGGTAGGCAGACGATATGGTGACTCTAAGTGAGGTCGAGGAGGCCTAGGCTCAGGTCTCGGGTGATAAGCTGAGTGGGGCATGTAATTGGAGTGGGGATAGTCAATGGGTTTCTCCGTCATAATTCTAGTCATATTGCCCACTAGGTTAACGATGTCATCTAAACTCTTTTGGAGTCTTATCGGGTCCATTGGGAAGCGTCAAGTGACACTCAAAGATGATTGGGTGTGAGGGACGTCATTTGGACACTAAGTTAGGCTCACTTAGGCTCACTACAAGGTGCAGAAAATGTTCGGACAACAAGCTACACTAGTGGGTTAAGAACCTAGGCACCTAGGGAGGTTGTTAGGTTGAGGACAGCAACTACACACTTGTTTAGAGGCACCTTAAGGCTAGTAAAGGGTGCAGGAATTTTCTGTACAGAAAGGTTCAGTCATTGCCTAAGTTGTCTAGGTGTTTGGAAGGTTCCGAGGGAGTGGACAGCACCCAAACAAAGACTAAAAGTTCACTAAACGAAGGCTAAAAGCTGCTGGAACAGTGAGGACAGCAGTCAAACTCAAGGGTGTGGTTGCCCTAAGCAAATAGAAACAAAGTAAGTCAAAAGGCTGCACTCACACTCTAGCTAGGATGACTTAAATGCCAATGAATGTGTGCAGGAAATGCAATTACAGCAGGGAAAACAGTGAGTAAATTGAACTACGCAATGATATGCATGCAATTTTAAAGTTAGAATGAACGGTTAGACCCTAGGATGTTTTTTTTTTCTAACATGTCCTGCATGCCTACCATGCTTTGATACCAAATATGATGTGAAACCACATGCATGCAAAAGGAGCTTGATAAGAAATTTAAGAACAATTGACAATGTAATCTCAATTAATAGCTTATTGTGATAACAAGGCAATTCAATAAAGATTCTTGGTTTTTAACTTGCTTAGGCGAAGGAGTACATGTAGATTAACTAATCCTTGTAGATAAACAAAAATAGTAGCAAAGCTAAGAGCTATTAAATAACAATCCACAACTTAATAATGAGAGTTTTCACCTCGGGGATTATTAACTCGACTATACTCGGCTTGGCGAGAGAAGATCTTGCACACTAGAATTGAGATCACCACTAGGAAGATGCCGGAAGCCTTTGTCCACGGGAAAGTAGTCGGAGTTAGTGAGGGTGGCGGATGTCCGATGATAATCCAACGGCTTGGTGGAAGATGCTCCTCGATCGACAATGCAAGTTGATATCGGATGCGGTCGATATAGCCTTCCACGGTGTCGTCGTGTCCAAGTTGCACGTCAAAGAACGGGGATGCGAGGATGTTCGTCCGTCCTTGTTCGTCGAAGAGGCTTGTTCGTCGAAGAGGAAGCCGTGGTCGATCTCAGGATCGGCCATGCATAGTTGAAGAGAAAGGGGGCAAATGTTGTCTTCTCTTCTCTCGGCCCCAAGTGTTATGAGTATCCGAACTTCACCCCGAGAGGAAAAGGGGAGGGTCGGCCAAGGTTGGGAGAGAGGGGGCGGGTGGATTGGGAGAGGGATGTTAGGCTAGATGAGGGGAAGAAGGGATTTACTCAAATCATAAATTAGTTTCAGATTTTAAGTAAATTTGGAGGGAAGTTAATTAGAATTTGAATTTCAAACCTCATGTGATCAATGCCATAAAGTGGCATTTAATGGGAATTGATCCCAAGCAAGGCCGGCGGCCAAGAGAGAGGAGAGGAGGGGATTAATTCACAAATCTGAAATTAATTTCAGAATTAAGTAAATTAGAGGGAGGGGAATTTGAATTTGAAAATTTTGAATCAAGAGCCTTGAATGCATTAATGGAGCATTAAAGGGAATTTCACCCTCATAGGGCCGGCGGCATTGTGAGAGGGAGATTAGGGAGATGAATTTCTTTCCAAATGAGTTTGAAACTTATGGGGGGAAAATAATGAGTCATCCAATTAGATTTCGTTTGAATTTTGAATTCGGAAAAAACTTCCTTATTTGGAAGTTTGCAAATAAGGAAAGTTTTTGAAATTGAACTTTGAATTTCAAAATTCAATAACTCATGCTTTTAATGCGGGACCTCAATCAATGAGCCATTATGATGATTGTCATCTTCATCATGGCTTGGGGCTAGGTGGTGGCCGGCGGTTGGGTGGTGAAAGAGGTGTGGCCGGCGGCTAAGGGAGAGGCCGGCGGTTGATTCCCTTAGGTTGTCGGCGGGATGAAATTGGGGTTCGAATTGGGAATAGACGGGAGGGGAATTTGGTGTTGGATGAGGATGAAAGAAGCACCGATAGAATGGAAACGAACTTAACCACGAGCCGCGGACTCTTCCAACAACTTGTGGGCCTTGCGATTTGCTCCCCTTGAGCTCTCTTCCCTCTCAAGCACTCATGCTAGAAAAGTAGAAACAAAACATAAATCTTCTTTCAAATATTCATTAACCCATTACATAAGAAATGACCATATATATAGGCCTCAAAATGACAAAGGAAACAAAAGACTAAAATGCCCCTTGGGCTATAATAGTGACCAAATACCCATAAGGGTAAAAACGGAAAAACTGAAAAATAAAATAAATTACTACATAACATGACAAAAAAATAATAATAATAAAACTCCTAATCGTGGCCGTCGATCTCCGGTGTCTCTGATTGCACACGTGTCGAAATCGCTGACGATGTCCTCATCACAACAAACCTTAAAATATGATTAAATCTCAAAACAGCAAGATTTGGACAAACAATCCCTAGATATTGGACAATTAAATTTATAAAATGAAATTCAAAGCCTAATAAGTCGCCCACCTGTACCGCTTAGCATACACTAATTTATTTGTTAGGACAAGTTATTATGAGCAGTTGATGAGTACCAAAAGTATCGGTTAAGTAGCAAACAAATTATTAATTAATTTGTTAGTGATGTGCTTATAAGAAAATATCCTAATGAGTTATTTTAGTGTGCAGATGACTATCCTAATTTTTTTCTTACTAGTTCTTAAGGTAAGAACAATAAGGAAAACTTTAAAAAGACAAGGGCATTAGGAGCTGTAGAAAACCATCCAAATACATGGTTTGCAATTTTAATAGATGTGAAAATTGGTTAAAATTTTAATGCCAAGGAAAATATATGAAAACATGATCAATACATGTAAAATCATTTTGCCAATTCTACAAAATTAAGGGATACAGACCTATGAAATCAAAATTCTATATTTAAAATGGCAGGGTGTCTCGAGGAGATTATGTTAAGAAGATATCCAATAACTAAAGAAAATTGTATCTAACAATTATATGACGGTCAATGTTGTGTGGGTTTTTCTTTTTGGTAATAAAAAATGTCACTAAACGGCCAACTTCAGTCTAGAAAAATGATAACCTAAAGATGGATGCGTGGTCAAAATTAAGAAGGGCAGAGCAAAAGATGCTGAAATTAGAGTGGAGTAGGTTGTAAAAGTGGATTTACACCAACAATATCATAGATATAATTTTTTTATAGATCAAAGATAAAATTTACATGCTAGGAACATGAAGAATAAGATTGATTAAAAACATGGCTGAACTCTTTTTAATAGGGATTTGTGTGCACCAAACCTACAGGTAAATTTATTAAATTATTTTGTCCTCACCTCTATGCTTGTGGCTAAGGAAAACCTAATCATTAAACTTTAATGTTGTGACTGCATATCTGAATCCCCTATTTAATTATATTATTGATCTGACTATTACAACATATTGAAAATAAATTAAGGATATATTGAATGTTTGTATATGAGTTTATTTTCTTACATGGTTAGTTTAAAGGATCCATCCCGCCATTACCAACTTGATTTTCAAAATTCTAAACTCACCTCTTTGTTGTAATAACATGAATTTTCAAAATGAAGTTGGTAATAGTGGGAATGATACTTTGAAACTAACCGTGCAAAAAAAATGAATTCCATATACAAACATTCAATTCATCCTTAATTTATTTTCAATCTATTGTGATACATGATTTTTCTTAATTAGTTCAACAATATAATTAATTAGGGGATTCGGTTATGCAGTCACAACATTTAAGTTTTAACGTTTAGGTTGTCCGTAGTGCAGAGTGAAAATTTTGGTTTAATAAACTTGTTGACAAATTCTTTTTTGGCAATTAAATGATATGTGTACTTTTCGATCCGGCATTTATTGTATGCTGCAACTGCAATCAACTTTGGTGCAAGAAAGATTCTATTCCACATGCCAAAATTTGTAATGTAGGGACAAGTTTTCATTTAGAAAAAAAAAAAAAGAAAAAGAACAAAACACTAATTTTGGTAAAAGTGCATTAGGCACATGTTGATCCTTTACAAGAGCTAGCATATTTTCTTAGATTTTGTATGTGCATATTTTTGTCTATTTGCATGCATACTTTTAGCTATCCGCATCTAGTTAAAACCCAACAGTAAAAGTGTTTACCTTTAGTTGTTTCTTTATTCTTTATTTGCTGTATATTGAAAAGTGATACATCTCTATGTGAAACATTATGTGATCTTTTTATGGTGATTAATTTTAGAAATTGTCCTTGGTTCAATATGTATCAAATACGTATATGTTTTTAATAACTAAAATATTTTCCTATACCATATCTTACTAGATCTATAACATTTTGTAATTCAGTATTCCTCTTACATTGGAATGGTCTCCTTCAGCCTCTCGTGATTTAATTTTAGCTGGGTGCCATGATGGAATGGTACGTTCTTTCTTATTCCATTTTGGAAGTTAAGGTTAGATTATTTTATCATAACTGATTGCTTATGCTTATTGAAATAAATGAACATTACCAAATGCCTAGAATTTGATTGATTATGTTCATTGAAATACTTTTCATGATACATTTTCTTTTATAAGATAGCCTATAAATTAGCTTTGTAATTGGGCACAACAGCTCATTAGGGCCTTAATCACTTGATGATCCAATCATAGGCACCCTATGTTAGAATAAATCCTGAATACCCCGAGAGCTATCTTGCATGTGGTTCAGATTGAGCAATTTGCATTGCATTAAGTCTGTTTTTTAGGTGGTTTATCGATGAAGTATTTTCATTTTGTAGATTTCATGATTTTAAAATTTCATTTTTGTAAATGTTTAGTTGGAATAGAACTTATTGTTATTTCTCTTTTTTAGGTTGCCCTGTGGAAGTTCTCTTCACAGCTTTCCTCTCAAGGTGAGCAAAAGTAAACTGACTGTTTGATATGACGATTTTGTTGTGCTTAATTTTCTTCTAAAACCGCTACTTTTTTTGATTTATTTTTTGATGCTTTATGTCTAAATTATTATCAGAGTAGTCATGACTTTAATGCTTCTTAACATATTATTGAACTATTCCAACATCATTTGCCATTTTATTGCAAATTTTGTTCTTAGATTTTTTTTATATTAACTGATGTAACTCAATTATTTTATTATCTAGATACCAAGCCCTTGCTATGCTTTACTGCTGACACAGTTGCTATAAGATCTCTTGCTTGGGCTCCAGATGACAGGTAACTGTTACAAATCCTATTCAATTAAGATCTCTTGCTTGGAATCTTTTATATCTGATGTTCTAACCTATGAAGTTATTTTTGTGATAACTGTGTTTATGCAGTGATGTTGAATGCTCAAACTTAATTGTGACTGCTGGATATGAAGGCCTAAAGTTTTGGGACCTACGGTATGCACAATGCATTAATTGACCATCTAGAAAGATGCTCATTTATGTTTTGCTTGATTTTGTTATGCCGGTCCAGCCTGGACCGGCCCAACCTGGACCGGCCTGCCGGTCCGGGTTTTCTTCAGGCGGAGGCGGCACAGAGAAGAGGCTTGGGGTGGGGTCCACTTGCAATTCAAACATGGTTTAAGTGTTTTTGGAGGGAGAAGGAAGGGTAGAGAAGTCCTTTTGCTTTTAATTTGAATTAGATTGTATTAATAGGGAGTTATGAGGGGATTAGGGGCATCTTGATTTTGAAAAGAGTTTTGTGTTCTAGGTTTTCTTGCTTGGGCTCTTGGCGTTGCCGGAGATTGTGGGAGAGTTGTTCTTCCTCTCGAATTGAAGAACATTGTATCTTGCTTTGGTTTTGATCGTCTACTAGGGGAATACAATTGTTTGCTATTGTTTTTTCCAAAGTTTTCTCCCTTTTCTCTCATCTTTTCCATTGTTGGTGGCTGTTTTCTATTGAAAACAGTGAAATATTGGTGATTTGGCGAAGATCCGATAGGAATCACTTGGAATATTCAAGTGGTACCTATCAGATTTCCTTAAATGATCCATGCATCTAAACACTTTTATTAATTCACTATAATTGCTGCTGATACTATTATTGTTATATGTTTTCATAAAAAAATCTCCTTTTCTAACTAGTGATCTAAAATTCTGTGATAAATGATAGCACACCGCATTTGTTGAAGATTAGAAAAAAACTTCTTTATATGACATTGGATGCTCTTATATGATTCATGCATCAAACTTTTATTTATGTTGAGTGGCCATTTTTTTGTATAATTCTTCATTGATAAAAATTCTGCAACTCTTTGGTTGCTCTCTTTTAAACTATTGTTAAAAGTTTTTTTTTTTTTTTTTTTTTAAATTTTTGCATAAGAATGAAACATCAAACGCTTCCTCTCTACACATGGGGTCAAGAGGGAACTTTTGATTCCAGATAAAACCTTAGAGATATGTTGAAATTTCACTCAAGCTATCTTAATTAAACTTCCATTATATAATTAAGCTAACCTCTTTTTGTTTTAACTATTACTCAAACACTTCTTTTATATCCTAACAAGTTCAAACCACCTTATCTTCACCATACCCTCAATGCTCTATACTTTTTTTCATATCCCATCATAGTTTGGAAGATCCTTTTGTTTTCCTCCTATTTGGATGAGTGAGTATGTGATGCAGCATTGAGATAGAGGTCAAGGACAAGGTTTCAAACCAGGGCTATTCATTATATATAATTTTTCATGCAAGCTGATGATTGATCTATAATCTCTTTGAATTCACTGGAGAAAAATTAAGAAGCTTATCTTCCCTCGATCCCAAAGAACATCTAATCCTTTCAGAACTCTCCCAAATATAGCATAAAATCTTGATATTGAGAGACGATTTCCTGCTATGAACAGTCATATTAAAATATCACAACTCTTGAACCCCTGATCCTAAATTCATAAAAATATCACAATTAGTTTTTGAACTTTCCAAAACTTTGGATATTACTTCCCTTCTTACTCCAAGAAAAATTTATCCTTTGACAATGTATTAGTGTTAGCACTACATTTGTCCAAATCTGGAATAACTATTTCACTATCACCAAAATAACCTTTCAACCATCATTCTATGGGAGTCCCAATTTTTTTGCATTTGCCAGAAAGATTCTATAGATCTTACATCAACAATTCTTATATTATGAGATTTGCAAGAGTTAGACAAATTATTTACTAGATTTTTCTATGTGTATGCCATCTGATATTTATTTTATTCTCGATTGTGCTTATTTAAGTTTGGTGGTCGATACAAATCAGAAGAGTTGTGCATTATTTGATGAAAGTATTTATAATATTTAAATTATTGGTTAAATGCGTGGGTGAAAAATGTTTAAATTATTTAATAAACCGATATTGAAAGCTAATTCTATACATGAATTTAAAGGCTTACATGTAGGGTGATTAACAATCATTGTCTGTAACATAAATTATAGTTTTAAAAAAATACTAGAGGTTTTTGGTAGCATTATTCTGCTTCAGTGGTATATTTTCTTTAAACGATCTTGCCTGACGTATAATTTAAGCATTCATTTTGAGTTGTATAGGTTAGCATAACGAATGGCTGGAAAATAACGGCCTCCTAATTTACTGAGAGCCTATTTAGCATCACTTTTTTGTTTCTAAAAATATCAAGAATGAAGATTTATAAATGTAATCCCAAATAGTTGGGACAATGCTAATGATGATGACGGACATATAATATGTTACAATATAGGTATCTTTCTCCTTTTGTATTTGTTTGATCAGATCCTATCAAATTAGATTTAGCAATTTGTCTCATCTCCTTACCGTTGTAAATACTGATAATGCCATTACTACTGTTTATTACTTTTACATTTTTAGAAACTTTTGCTAATATTTTAGTTTACTTGTGCTGTTTTTAAAATCTGATTATTGACTCTCTTTCCTTCTTCAGCAGCCCCTATCGTCCTTTAATGGACGTTTGTCCGGTCCAAAGAGCTGTGCTAGGTCTTGATTGGTTGAAGGATCCTAGGTAACATTCAATTAACTTGTGCATTATTCTTGAACGAAACAGTGACTTCTAATGTATCCTTACAGATGCGTTGTCATTGCATATGAAGATGGTATTATGAGGACACTAAGCTTGACAAAGATGGCAAATAATATGCCTTTTACTGGGGAACTAATGACTAGAACAAAGCAACAAGGACTGCACTTTCAATCGTGTTCATTTTTTGCCATTTGGAGTGTCCAAGTATCACGTAGAACTGGTAACGTTTTATTAAACTTTTTTTCCTTAAATTTTACTTCACATACTTTAATTGTATAGGTGATAGAAAAACGGAAGCTGAGTGAAAATATGAAAGTAAAACAAAATCACAGTCGCTAAAAGATGTAATAACACCAACACCAACATCAAGCCTTTATCCCAATATGTGGGGTCGGCTACATGAATCCTTTTTTTTCCATTATTAATAGTTAAATTCTCATTTAAATCTATTAAATAAAGGTCATTTCTAATATTTTCTAATCAAGTCTTTTTAGGTCTACCTCTCTCTTTCTTAACATAAGTCAAATTTAATACATTTACTTTTTTAACCGGGTCATCAGAAGGCTGCAGTTTTATGTGACCAAACCATTTAAGGCGACTCTCTCTAATCTCATCTTCCACTAGAACTACTCCAACATTTTCACGTATATGCTCATTTCATATATTGTCTCTGAAAGTAAAGCCACTCATCCACCTGAGCATCCTCATCTCTGCAACACTTAACTTAATATCACACTTCTCTTTTAATGGCCAACATTATGCACCATTAAGCATTGTAGGTGTAATCACCATCTTATAGAATTTTCCCCTTAAGTTTGAGGGGGACTTTTCTATCACACAACAAACCCGATGCATTTCTCCACTTCAACTATGCAGCTTGAATTCTACTAATAATATCCTAATCTATTTCACCATCACTCTGAACAATAGACCCAAGATATCTAAAACGTGTACTCTTATTAATTACTTGATCACCTAAAGTCACAATCCCCCCACTAAATCTATTATTACTAAAATTACACTCTATATATTCAGTTTTAGATCTACTCAAATGAAAGCTTTTAGATTCTAAGGTTGACCTCCATAATTCAAGTTTACTTTTAACTCCTCTAAGTATTATTAACAAGAAGAATATCATCAACAAAAAGCATACACCAAAGTACAATCTCTTGCAAATGTCTAGGGAGAACATCCATGACTAAAGCAAAAATATATGGGCTTAAGGCTGATCCTTGATGTAATCCAATTGAATTAGGAAAATACTTGGTCAAACTACCTTGTGTTTGAACAGAAGTACCAGCTCCTGCATACATATCCTTAATGACTTGAATATAAACATTATTAACCCTTTTCTTTTCTAAAACTCTCCATGACACTTCTCTTGGAACTTTATCATATGCTTTCTCCAAATCAATAAATATTATATGTAAATCCTCTTTATTTTCTCTGTATTTCTACATCAAACATCTCAATAATTGTATAGCTTACATAGTAGACCTACCCGGCTTGAATCCAATTTGATTTTGAGAAACATTAGTATCACGCCGCATCCTATGCTCCATAACTCTCTCCCACAGTTTTAAGGTATAACACATTAACTTAATTCCTCTATAGCACAATCTTGTGCATCACCTTTATTTTTAAACTAGGAAATTTTGAAAAGAATGGATTATATGTACCTTTTTTTGATAATTAGTTGCAAGAAGTTGAAATAATCATTCCACTTAGCTTGCTTTTCCTCCCATAAAATCACAAAGGTGAATAGCAAAGAAAGAGGGTGGACTGGATGTTGCATATAAGGAAATATCTACTGTGAAACATTGATTAGACTTGAAAAGATAAATATGGATCTTATATATGCTAATTAATTTTAATTTATTTTGAATAAAAGTCCAAACAAAATGAAAAATGTATGAAGAGCTAAATTAAAGATAAATATGTAGCATAATGATAATGTCCATTAAATATGATTGCATCAAATGAAACTGCATTCATAAATTCTAAATAAAGAAAAAAAGTCATTTCTTGCCAAGCAGCAAGTGATTGAATGGTGTTCCACTTGCTGTTTTGCATTAGCTCCCCTTGGATTCGGAGAAAAATGCCTCCAAAGAGTTATAGTGGTGGTGTTGGTCCCAATGCTTGGGTGCAAGCTGTTGTAGCTTAGAGCGGTCTATGTATCATCAGATCGAGGATGATCATGCCAATAAACAAGATAATGATGGGACCTAAATGGACCCAGGGTAATCTCATTAATAACAATTTGATTGAATATCAGTGCAAGAAAGTCTGTGGCAAGCTTGAAAATTGCATGGGAGCTACACAGGAAAGTTCAATTGTAGACATGTTAGGAGACAGTTCTGGAGGCTTTAAAAGTTAACGTACATGGAAAAATATCTTTAATGTTAACTGTATGACTAATCAGCATTTCATGAGATAAATTTCGAACATATGCATTTGAACCTATAGCTTCCTTATAATATGGTATGAACTAGATGTTAGTATGTAGTTTCTTATAAGACGCTTGTTGAATGCATTTGAGATGAATAGCAATTATAACAAAATAACAAACATTATATTCTTTTCTTGTTGCGTTAGGAGAATATTTGTACTTATTTGCCTAAAATTCAATTTGTTGATGAGCATCACATATGTCATTTATGTGCTTTGCAACTGATGATGGAAAAATTTGAACATGCATGCATACGCAGCAGAATAAAATCTAAAAGTTTTTGTGGATTTATGCCATTGATTTCAAATGGGGCTTTTTCTTATGCTTTTATAGGCAAATTCAATTGTAGATAGATGTAATTCCCAATTTACAATGCTTTTACCCACCAAACATCTTATCAAATTTTCAATGCTTCTACATCTACTTTGTGTTGTTTATCCATTCGAGAATGAAAAGCAGAATAATTCATTTGGTATGAAATAAATTTAGGGTTTTCCAAAAGCATCTTACAAAGAGAACATCTCAATTAAACATATAGTAGTTGGCTAACCCATAAAGAGGTAATTTCGTTAAAGAAATGTGAGAAGCATCATTGTTTTAGAGCATAGTAAAAAGTGTGCTATTTTTGAGTATGAGGTAAGCTCAAAACAAATTCATACTCTGATAGTGTCATGGTGATGCAGAGGTTAGCAGAGGGGTATAAACTCGAGGTTTTTTTTTAATAGTTTTTCTGTTGGCAAGTTGCAACATTATTAAATGTGTAATATTATGTTTCAAATGATGTAAAGTAAAATTGACTTTTAAGGAGTGCAGTCTTATTACATCAATGGTAGCTAGCAATTCCACCAGCATGGAGTTTCCATATAAGAAATGGCCAAAAGGATGCTATGGGAGTGCATAATTGTTTACCAGGATAATGATAACCTGCTAGAATAGAAAATGTGAAATTATGAAGTAGTACAAGTTAAGAGTCATGAATACCGATATGAGGCATGGATATAACATGATAAAGACACGTGGACTCAATATGCCACGGGCACAATATTTTTTTTAATTATTAAGATAAAGTGCATGATCAAAATCCTTAATTTAAATATTTTTTTTAATAAAAATATTACTATGAAGTATAAAATGTCATAAAAATTTCAAGGATCACGAAGGAAAAATCTAACATTGATTTAATTGCACTTATATTTCAATATTTCATCAAATGTACTTCATCCCTAACAATGCACCAGAATTAACATTAATCTTTAGTGTGATTTTAACATTATACTATTTACATAAATCCAAAAATCCTAAAAACTGTATTTCTATGAGCACAAAAATGGAAAAGATATGATATGAGAACAACGATACAACATAATTGTAAAATTTAGGATACAATGCTCTTTGCGCACATTGTTATATTTTATAAATTATTAATATGAACTATATAATTTATATTATTCTTTATTAAAGACATTATAGGATGAAGTACAATATCATATTTAATTAAAAAAATTAGGAATTTATTAGTAAAAAATTGAATTTAATAAGAACTCAAATAAATAAATATCTATAGCTTCTAGTTAAACCCTAAATGTCAATCAATGAATTTAGTAAAGAAAATAAATCATTGGATAAAAATCCAATCGTTTTACATTAGATTTTTTTGTTAGTTGAATAATGAAGTAAATTGTTGTGAGAGAGCTATTTCTCACACACTAATAAACTACCCAATTTCTTTTTCAAATAGTGATATCACATGTTAGTGATTAGAATAAAGGAGAAAATAAATAAACTAGCCATTTTATTATCTTCTTTTGTTAAGAACCGTTGCTAGTTAAGGCTTGAGGTCCATGAGGGCTACTTGTAGAAGAAGGCTGCATGTAAAAGAAGAGGCGGAGATGGTCGGCTAAGTATAAGGGCACCGATTATCACAAAAGTGCACATGATTGCGAGATGGCTTCAAAGTCGAGGCAGAGATGCGTGACATCTTTGACGAAGAGGAGATTCGATATGTTTCGCCGATAGCTAAGGGTTCATATGAATATTAAGTCCTTTGCATACATGGTTCGGTTTTGAATTCTTATATTTAGTTGTCTTGCTTGTGTTATGCCCATGTCCTGGCATGTTAGATAAGTGTTGAAGTTCAATTTTACGCTAAAAAACTTTTGACATAATTTCCAAAGCGTTGGACATGTTGGGGTGTTTCAGAGCAATGTCCGTGCTCGATAGGTGTCCACCATGAACATGAGATGCATTTGGAAGAGTTCTTTCTTCCTAGGAGTATATAAATTTCAAAGTAACCACACAAATATAACCTAGTTGTACAACTAATTTGACCCAACAACTCACTGTATGGTTTTAGGACATCCATTTACTGTCCAATATGAAGAAAAAGTTCATTGAACTAAAAACAACTGTTGTATACCTTGTATCGAGGTGAGTTTCGGTCATGTTAGGGCATGTGTTGCCTGTATCTGACATTAATTTTTGAATAAAGCACATTAAACAATTGAACAGTTATTATGTCTTGTGATGCCTAAATTTTCAAAAGGGTAAGATGAAAATTTATTCTGAAAAAGTTGCACCTCATTTTTCTTGTAGCCCAGAAATCATCAAAATTATTTTATATAATTCTTTATTTTATTTCAATTATTTTAATACATAGAAATGTATATAAACAAATGAGTATATTAGCATTTTATAATTAAATAAGATGTCCCGAAGTATTTAATTTTTCTATTCACCTAACTAATGTTCTATAGCAAACTTATTTTTCCCCC